TACATGTTTGTGTGATGAGTCTACAGCTTGGCTCCCTTGCAGTGGGGCTTCATTTCCAGTGTTTTTTATTACGTTAGTATTCTCTTCAGACAAATCAGTCTCGAGCTCCTCTGGAATTGATACCATGTTAAAGTCAATAAGAGTGCTGCTCTGCGTAACCGATCTGTGAGGCAAAAACTTTGGCACTTTAAAAACACCATCTTTTGCAAATGCCTTCCTGTTTTTAAGTGGCACAGATAATCCTATAGTTTGCTGTAACTGTGGTGTAGACTTAGGATCAACTACTGTACTGGATAAAATATTTTGGAAGCTGGGTTGTTCATAGGCTGTCTGATTCTGAGATGAGTGACTGATGGTGCTGTTTTGTGGAATGAATGAATCCAACGGAGCATTTTTTCTCTCTTCTCTACGTCTGAGGGGTAACTCATCTGGAAAGACACATTACAGTATATTATTACATATATTAAATGTACAGGACTTGTATCTTAGTAATTTGTATTACAGTTCCCAAAATTACCAGCGCACTGACAAATTAATTTTTCTCTTTTGTCGCATGTTGACCCAAAGTAAATCAACGTTTGTCACCAAATACAGGTTGACAATCCCTTATCCGAAATCCTTGGGGCCAGAGGCATTTCGGATTTTGGAATTTTTCGGTTTTCAGAATGTTTTTTTTTTTTTTAATGTGTATTAGCACATCCGGGCACAAGTCACTGACCCACATTGGGGCCTGGGGGGTGAAAATATAATAATAATAATAATAATAATAATAATAATAATAATAATAATAATAATTCATAGGTCTAGGTTGTGTTTCTTACTTATCTTTTTTCATTCTTGTATTTTTATTATTATTATTATTTTATTAATACAGTATTGTTATTATTATTATTAAAATTTTATTATTATATTTTATTATTATTATTATTGTTATCATTATTATTTTATTTTTGTGTATTTTTTTATTAACTATGAATAATTATTATTATTATAATTATTATTATAATTAGTATTACTATTACGTTTTCGCCCCCAGGCTCTGATGTGGGTCAGTGATCTATGCCTGGGTGGGCTAATCCCCGGTAAAAAAAAAAAAAATTGCTCCACAAAAAAACTTTCGGTTTTCGGAATTTCGGATAAAGGGTTGTCAACCTGTAAGACCAATTCCCCTACCACACCACAAGGGAATACATTCACACCATGACAGTACTGTACTGTACTGTATCTTTTAAGGCCATATACCAGAGATATTGCTTTTTTTTTCACCCCAAGCAAGTTCGATTTTGCCTTATTATATGGGGTAATAAATTATTATTTTTGGACTTTTCACACTTGGCCTTTGCGAATTGAGCCACTAAGTTTGTGTACAAATCAATTAATAAGGATTGTAGGCCTTAGTTATTGGTAAATTTTTTACCCCATATGATCATAACTATAGTGCAATTCTTGAAAATAATATACACATATATTAAAAAAAAAAAAATCTAGAACTTCTCTAGTTTGCACACCCTTGGGTCCGACTGTTTGACAAACATGTTGATTTTACAAACTAAAACTTACAACATGGGTGCTATGGACTTCAACATACTAAATAGTTCGCATGCACTCAACATAACTTTTATTATTGTTAAAAATTTTAACCAATGTATTGCAGTTTTTCTGGTGAACATGTTGGATCGTAAGTAATATAAACATAAACTAGCTGAGCCTTCTGTGAACTAGGTATCTACTGATGAACTAGAAAGAGTCTAATGTACAGTAATTCCTAAATACAGGTGACGGTAATCCCGGAGCAGATGGCTAACACCAGAAAGTGATGTTCAATTTCATTAAATTTTTTCACAGATATTCTATGAATGATAGCAAGTAGTAAAAAAGCTTCGACAATGCACAGAACCTAATAGAACCTGACCTGACCGGATCTCCCGCTATATTAAACAGAAAGTACTGTACTTACAGTATTTTGATATCTGGTGCCAATGAAAGCAATTTTGTAGAAGCATCATAGTGCAATTTTACGTTTTTCGTTGCCTTGGGATTATGCTCGGACTAAGCTGGTCAATTGTAAACAAATGAGAAGACGACAACATGTGCCAACAAGGCAAATTTTTCAAAAGAATATTTACGGTAAATAGTTAATTTCTTCGCGTACAAAGCACGTAGACGCATCATTGTGTGTAGTATGATCAGTTTTAACAGCAATATCTCTCATCCTTCATACCCTGCCCATTATAAGTGATTTATGATTGTTGATAGAAAACTAAAAAAAAAAACACTTACAATTAAAATAAAATGCTGTCATATCATTTAAATTACTTACTATCATCCAAAGAACATCTGTGGAAAAAATGACCAAAATCAAAATCTACTTCTGGTGATAGCCATCTGCTCAGTACAGTATTACCCACGTCACAAGCTGCAGTTACATTAATGAGACCCGGAAATACATTAATGAGATACCAAAGACACTCAATACAGTATGGACTGAGCCAGACTCACCAAAGATGACTGATGAAATACTCTGCTGGTAGTCTACTCTCTTATCCTCCGCCGGTGCCGCCTTTGCTTCCTTCTGTGGAACTTCTTTAACTTCGCTCTTCTTTTTTCTGTCCTTCCTTAGTTTAGATGTGACATCGTTGCTGGAGTCTTTGCTGTCCACGCCCAACTTTATCTTAACTTCCTTTGGTTTAGTTATTTGTTTTTTGGGCTGAGTGTCATTTTCACGCCCTTCATCATTAAGTATTCCTTTGTTTACTCTATTCACTGTTATTTTACTCTTTTTATCTTCTGTGGATTTTTTATTGGTTACATGATAATACTTTGTACTAAAACCATCATATATGGAGCATTTGCTCAGATTAATTACATTATAAATAATTTTTTCAGATTTTGAATCGTCTGGTTTTTCAAAATTCCAAAAATCAAGTGGTCGAATGGTCCGGCGACCAGATCGACGAGGCCCCGTAGAATCACTCATATTCAAAACAGTACTGCATATGTTAAGTCTCCTGTGTGTGAAGAGGGTGACATATTATAATTAATGTAGTACACAAGTCACATATACTAACAACAGTATAATTCAGTACTCAAAGTGTTTTCCAAGAATGATTTTTCTATTATTAAATTTATTTGACTCATAAACTAATTCTAACACTGTACTGCACAATCACACAAACGGTAAAGGTGTAGACAATGGGCCTTTACTAAAAGAGGTTCACATGAGACTCACAAATATTTCAAACGATTGGAATATTCAAATCCAATCCAAATTTTCCTGGAGAAAAGATAAAGTGAAAAATTAAATCTTTGTATTTAAAAGTGTGAGCTCAAATTCAGTAACTATCCTGCCAAAGGTGACTACAGTAGACCTAACTTAGGCTATGGATGCTACATTGTAAATATATTTTTTTTTTACGGGGATTAACCCACCCGGGCACAGGTCACTGACCCACATCAGGGCCCAGGGGGCGAAAATTTAATAATAATAATAATAATTCATATTAAATAAAATTTATAATAAAAAGTAAAATAAAATATTAATGGTAATAATAATAATAACAACAATGTGATAATAATAAATACAAAGAAATGCAAGAATGAAAAAAAATCAACAGTGAGAAACGATATATATGTATGTTGTTTTGTCATGTAATAGAAACAATTGAGACCCTACAATTGTGTGTAAATGAGGCAGAAAGTCAGATCACCAACCTGGGACTTGGTCACATATAGCAGCAGGGTCTACCATTAGACAACACATTATGCTGCCAATATCTCCCCAGGCGGTAGTACCTCCCTGTTTGGTAGCTGCCTACTACCATGGAGACCCGATATTACAGTAGCACCAAATGTTGTTTAATAGAGAATGTCAAGCATTACCCAGAGTATAAGCCTTCAGCCTTCCTAGACATTGGGATACCACTGTTCACACAATTCTACAACTCAGCTTCATGCTTGAAGAACACTGTCATCACCACATGAATTTATGCCTCACACTAGCGGAATGACATTTACAAACCATAGGAAAAGTAAAGGTCCTCCGGCATTATCTGTAGTGTTGAGTATTGTTTCCTGTGAAGATAAAACTGGTCGACTTACAATATGTTTGCAAGTAAGTTCTTAAACTGTAAATATATATACACACGGGTTCAAACCCTGCCAGCTTACCTTTTTTATGCATGAAAATCACAATGACCATAGATGAATCACATGACAGTTGACACCAGAGCCACCAAAGGCGTTGTTGACGAACTGCCACTTGGAGTACCCCGCTGTTAAGGGACCCTGTGTGTACTATTATTTTGAATTTAAGGTGCAGGTGTAGTCATAAACAAAGGCAGCCATCGTACTCATTTCTTATAAAATAAATTGTTCTCGATATAAATTTCTTTATACAGTTTCAACTTTAACTCTTATATCACTTGTTCTGTTCAAGAGAAATGCATGGCTGTGTAGTAATGGTAAACAGTTTACAGCTTTTGCTTACTGCACAAACAAGTGCATGTACTAGTAAACGACAACGTTGATTGAATAATTAAATTAGTAATTACAGTACACTATTCCACCAACAATTAAGAATTACTAGAGCTACAACTCACCATAGTCATGAAGGCTGAGGCAAATTTTTTCCCTCGGTGGAGTTGCTGTATGTATAAATTAAAATTAAAATAATTCTTTAAGTATATAATTTATATGTATGAAAATAAAATTGCATTAATTATTTCATATTATTAATATATAAATTGATGGTTATATCGGTGTGTGGGCGAGGATATGTATTAGAGACTGGTGAGGAGAGGAGACCCTGGTGAGGCACATGTGTCAGGTGTGAGGAGAGGAGACCCTGGTGAGGCACGTGTGTCAGGTGTGAGGAGAGGAGACCCTGGTGAGGCACATGTGAGGAGGACGACTGTGTTAGTAAACCAAACAGAAGCTTCACAATATTATTATAACGCATACATTTAAAACAAGATAGAAGTTAAGAGGTAAGGAAAGTACTTAACAAAAGACTAATATATCTTTAATATTAGTACGATATTTCATTTTGTTTACCTTACAAAACATTACCAAACATTTTCTTGTCCAGTTGTGTCAGGGCAGAAATGGTCTTGAGCTTCCTGACTGACCACCACTAAACCTGTTCTTAAAACATTTGGTAAAAGTGAAGTCGTTAAATTTTGACTGGATATTTGTCCGTTTTTTTAGTTTTTCTGTTAAGTTAGGTAGGGTTTTAAGGTCTTTTTGTTATCAGTGCACCGTTTTAATAGGTTTGTGCATTCTTGTTTCCATTTATCTATTTAATAGATTGTAAATAACGTTTCTATAAAGTTTAGTCGGTAATATTGCAGTAAACAGCAACTACAGAATTCCAGAAATTCACTACACTCAGTCGATATAACTATTTTTCTATGATCTTTTTCTCATGTTACATTAAGTTAGGTAATACATATTTTTTATCAGATTCTTTGGTTGCTGTAATCTGCAATTTTACCGTTTCCTCCAAGTCTATCAACTAAAAAAAAAGAAAATATTACCCTAAAAAAATCCTACCTAAACGACAACCGGATAAATATCCACAGCATTAAATTATTCCAGAGACGTTGTTTGGACAATAATAAGTACTGTACTAATAAATATGATACAACAAATTTTTCCCTTAATATTTTTCGTAGTAGATATTTTGCAGTGACCGGCTAAGTTCCTACTTATGCTATTTTACCGTGAGGGCGCTCTGATTGGCTAAGTACTCCTCAGCTAGGAAGTTAAGTAAGGTTTGGTAGGTTAGGTCAGGTTCTATTAGGTTCTAGTAAATGTCGCTTCTTTTCTAATGATAAGTTTCCATGTACCACAGGAATTTGGTTAGGTATGTTTACAGCTACATAACGATCGACTTGCGGCGAAATAAACACCAAATGCCGCCAGAGCCACAGTCAAATATAGTTCTCACATTGTTCGCTGGTAATGAACAATCAGCGCGCACTCACGGTAAAATAGCATTAGGAGGAACTTACCGGTCATGGCAAAATATCCACTGCCTATTTTTTGTTTTTCTCAACCTTCAATCATAAATCACTTGTAGTGGGCAGAGCATGAGCCTAATAGTAGATATATTCTCTATAATAACATATATTCTCTATAATAACAGATATATTCTCTATAATAACAGATATATTCTCTATAATAACAGATATATTCTCTTTCTCTATAATAACAGATATATTCTCTATAATAACAGATATATTCTCTTTCTCTATAATAACAGATATATTCTCTATAATAACAGATATATTCTCTATAATAACATATATATTCTCTTTCTCTATAATAACAGATATATTCTCTATTTCAGTTCATTATTTCAAGATGGCATCATTACGGAATGCCAGGAAAACTCAGCAAGTGCACAGGGAACGTCACCAGCCACTTGAACGTCAACATTTGGGAGCCTTAGAGAAGAAGAAGGACTACAAGAAACGAGCTAAGTTAGTGCACCACTCTGATGTGTATACCTGTACAGTCCCTATAGTACAGTGTTTATTGTCATTGTTCTCACATATAAATGATTCTTGAGATAGCAAGGAACACTGACACTATACAGTACCGTGATTTTGAGCTATATAGTTTTAAATATTGTATGTTCCTTTTGCTTATTGTGGTATCAAATATCACAGTATAGTAAAGAATTTATTATGTCTTAGTATTTTCCAATGGCTTCAATATGCTTTTCGATATGCACATATGCAAATACTGTATATAATTATCTGGAGTCTAACATCAATATTACATAAAAATGTTATGATGCAGGAGTGGAGAGTAAAGAAGAAGTATTGGAGTAATGTAGCAGATGTGTTGAGTAGGAGGCTGCCTGTGTCATGGGTGGGAATATGTTAAGGATGAAACAGGAAAATAGAGGTCTAGAGAAGGCAAAGATTGTACAGTAAAATATTTAATGGTAGGTATATCAGGAAATATTTTATCATTACAGTATTCCCAACCTACTTCTGAGTACAGGTTGTTTTGTTATAAATTATGGTGTAGCACTTATATGTTAAACTTTAATCAGAATTTGGAATGATGTAGGAATAAGGCAGCTTCTTTACTTAATTGATGGCTCTTGGATACAGTCTTTTAAAATGTTCTCACCTATATTGGTACCATTCTTGGAGGTGATATGTTTCATCTCACAGTTATGTACATGTGTTTAGTGTTATTTGTTGTTTTTCAGAGACCAAAATGAGAAGCGTAAAGCACTAGCAGTTCTTCGTAAACGAGCCCTAAACAAGAATCCAGATGAATTTCAGTATCACATGATTAATAGTGAACTAAAGGTAGAGGTTCTAACTTTACGACCTTATGATGTTCCTAATCAATGTCAACTAATTATAGCCCAATCAAAATCTGACCTGCCAAACCTATTCTTACTTAATCTAAAACAGTGTTGCACTTAGTATGCTGTAATTAAAAAAGTCCATAGATTCTTGTATGGCTAACACACTTCACTAGGCAACTCATAAACTACAGCCATGAGTCCTGGGTGTAACCCTGTAAGCCAGGCTTGACCCTTAGACATTATAGACTGGGATTAATTTATGAATCAGTTTTGCCTCCTTATAACCAAATCCAAAAGGATATCTTAAAAGCAGTTATTCACCATTTAGAGTAAGGAACAGTGAGTCATGTTTGCGACATCAGCAGACACACAATTTCATTTTGTCTAGCACAATCGTAGTGGGGTTGTCCAGCATCAGACTTTACTCTCCTAGCCTAGACTTAACTCTGTCTTGATAGTTCTTTTTAGCATTTGTGTATTCTGGGATTGATTCACTCAGATTTTGTTTATTACCTTTGCTTACATTACACTACAAGGAGAGTATAAATAATGTATCAACTTTACAGGTCTGCATAAGAGGGCACCAAGGATGTCAGTGTCTTAGTGACTTGTTAAAGAGGTTTAATGGTTTGCTTTATCCAAGGTTTCACTATTTTATGGAGTTGATAAACAATTAACAGATTACAGTTTCGAATGCTTGTGCAGTTTATGTTTGCCCTTACCTCCAAAAAGGACAGGGCGATAAAAAAAAATTATATGATTACAATAGTTTTAGTTGTACAGCACAGTAATGTATTTCTCCATAGGCGGAGTTTTCTTATCTAACTACAAGTAATGTTTTAAATACGATGTAACCTTATTACTTCATTATTTTATTTTCACGACGTTTACTAAATAGGTCTCATAATAATTTTTTCAACTTTTTACAAATACAGTATGTTTTTTTTGTTTTTTTTTTTGTCTTCAGGATGGTATACACTTTGAAAAGGTAGGAGATGAAGAACTTGCTGTGGGTGATGTTGTCCAGGACTTGACTTATATCACTCACCGTCGGTCAGTTGAGAGAAAGAAGATTGAAAAGTTGAAGGCACAGTTACATATTCTTGATGTGGAAGATGATAATCCCAAAAATACTCACATACTATTTGTGGATAGTGAAAAGGAAGGTACGTCATATATGTTGGTCAGTCAGATATGGCTGGCCCAGTAGTAAGAGAAGCTTTACAATAGTTTATAAGATATATTTCCATTCATATACATAGCCTGAGGCACCGTCTTTATCACCACCTGGGAATTACTGTACTTTACTTGTATTGTATACCTACTCTAAGTATGTACTTGTCCATTATTTCTTAACTCTTAAATGGTAGCTAGTATGTTAGATGTGGGAACAGCAGCCAACATCGGTGGATATTTCATGTTCCTTGTGTTCCAGTTTGTGATCATGTGGGGGCAGACTAGGGAATCTTTACCCGTCATTTGAGGGCTAACAAAGTGTAAAGGGTAGTACAGTATGTGATCATGTGAAGGAATCAGGTTTGTAGGTGTGCAAGTTTACCACTTCTGACTGAAAGATAATAATAGTACAATGTGTATTCATTTATATGTATTGATATATCTTATCAACTTTAATGTTACTATTACTAATCTTATTATCAGATTTACTAATTTCTCATCAAATTGAAGCGTAAGAGTAAACTGAGCTACACAACAACTCTTGTAAATCTGTATGTCTTCAGTTTATAATGGGTTAACCTACAATGGCAGCCATGTGAATCTGATGTCAAATACCACAGACAGTTTGAGAGAAGATAGATATTAAAGTAGGAAGTTGTTCTCATATATATATGAAGTTTAAAATATTTTTTTTCTTCACAGCAAAGAAAGCTGACCCCTCGAAGATTTTGGACACACACCCATCATTACTTGCCAGACGTTTCAACAGACTTCGCTCCAACCAGTTAGCAGAGCTTGCCAACAATATAAAAGACCCATCACTTTTTAAGGTAAGGTGTTTTGTGGTTATTGAAGACCAGTACAATATGAATTCAGAACAACATGTTTTTGCTGAAAGATTTTTAGTGTAAAGTTACTGGACGAGAAAGAAAATATTTGTTTGATAAAGATAGGTATTTGAAATTTATGGGATAATTCAGAATTTAATTATTTTTTCCTGGGTTTTTATAGGATCTTGTTAAGATATTTTGGGTTAAGTATATGTGTAATGTCACAAAGCCTGTTTCAATTTTGATGGATTGGGGGAGTTAGAGGGGTGAGAGTAAAGAGTGATGGAGAGAGGTTTGGTGAATACTGATACAGGATTATGTAACTAGGGGGAATCATTTCTTTTTACAGATGAAATTACACTTGGGACCAATTCAGGAGAAAAGTCACAAATGTTAGTGAATGAGTTTGGGTGAATGTGTACTTGGAGGAACGTGAATAGAATTAGAATATGTAAAAATATGTATAGAAAGGAAACCTGGAGAAATGAATATTAACTCGATTGACGATAGAATTGAGAAAGTGGGGAGAGTGGATGTGTTAGCAATTGGAATGATCTGTGATGAATCAAACCATAGAGTTACTGAAGGAAATAAAATAGTACATCCTTTGAGAAGGGTATCGAGGGAGAGAAGGAGAGGGAACAATGTAAGAGTAAAAATGGAGATGTACAAGGGAAATATTGACCTGATGTTATAATATGGGGGTGAAACATAGACTGAATGCTGGAGATGACAGCAAATGCAACTAAAGTGAATGAATGTTTAGAAAATTGCCTCCCATAGCCATTATTTATGTGAGTGTGTACCTTCAGCTCATCTTCAGTTTATAGATAATGAAAGTTTTCCATCCCCAAGTTTTGTTCATCTCCAACAAGCTAATCATATACTTTAATCTTTATTTATAGAAAATGTCATATGCCAAGTCCAAGGCATACAAGAAGCTGGCACAAAGGATGGAGAGAGAAAATAAACTACGAATTATGCAAGAGAAGTTGGAGGTGCGGAAGAAGCTCATGGTAAGTACAGTACTGTATATAGGTTCTCATAGTATTGACAGATTCGTAAGTCAGGAAATAGATCAGTGTTAAGACAAAGGAGGTGTTCAATGCCTTCTGTTCTAAATTGTAAATGTGGTCTGGTTTGTCTCATTACTTTGATTCATTATATTTGTTATTTTTTTTTAGAAAGAGTAAATTACTAATGAGAAAGGCAGTGTGGGTCTTCATCTCACCCACCCTGCACTGTAGTGGGAAACATCTTGCCAAAAAAGATGTATAGATCTGTTAGGTGTGTCTAGACCCATTCAGTACAACCTCATAACTCCTAAGTGGTAAACATTTTGTAATTTATGAGTCAGGGCTTCTATTACTCTTTCCATTTATCTTTTATGAATTTTGTTTCATTGCAGAATAATAAAGGCAAAGATGGAATGAAGCCCAAATTAGTGAAAGCTGGGACCAGTACGTCAGCTCCTGTGTATGAGTGGCCTCAACGGCGGAAGACTTAGATGATGACATTGTAATTTTACATTGATCATGATTTTTTATTGGATAGAAAAGTATTTGTGTTATTATGTAAAGAAATATATTTAATATCTTGTTAAAAAAGATAGTATTAAATATCTGCAAACACCATCTGTATTTTACTTTATTTCCAGGTGTCTGGTAAGTGCTTATCTTAGCTTACGTCTACTACTGGTTCCAACAACTTTAGTCTCTCAGTGTTCATGTCTGTGTCCTTCCTCTGGTTTAGTCTTAAGTCCACACCCATAGCTGCATAAAAGGTGAGCTGTCTAACTGTTCATTATTTTGGTATCTTATTTTTTAGTGTTATTCTAAGTATCTTTGGATTTATTTTAGAAAGCAAGTTGTGTGAAGTAAAGATGAAATAGAGGAGAAAATTTTATATTGATCGATGATAAGTGCTGGAGTAACAACTAGAGCACATGATCTGGTTAAGTGAGGGACTATTAATAAGTTCAATGTTAAGTTATTAAATTAACTAGAATAAGGAAAGGGAGGATATTGAATGGTGTACGTGACGGGGCAGGAGGCTCATTATTATAACTTTATCAATTGATCCGGTCACCAGTCCTCTCCATGCTCCATAGTTCACTCTGTCACACCCATTGCAAGAATTATACATTTTTGTCATGGATACTCCTTGTTCCTTCATTGTAATTAAATCCATCAGACCTTTTATGCTGCAGACAACTCGTATCAAAAGTTAAAGGGTTTGTAGTATGGTCCCTCTTGACAAAAACTAGCACGGCCACACCTACATCTAAATTACACGAGTACATGTTAATGATATTGTCCCTAGTGTTTGTATATTGTTGATTATCAAATTTATAAATAATAGTGTGACTGTTGTGTTATCAGTGAATGTATATAATTGACTGACTGAACTGGAAAGGCCTTTTGATTAGCAAGACTGGATTGTGCAACAGTTGTAGCCAGTAAATTTTTTTTATGGTGGGGTGAAAGTTGCTGGCTGGTAGGGAATGCATCCCCCCCCATTTACATTAATTCATATGGGGGGGGGGATTACCTCATAATTCGTTATTCGCAAGTACTTTAAGGATCGCATCATTTGCGATAACCGGGGTATTCCAAAATGTGTAAATATCTCTCATAATTCGAAATAGTGCAACATACAATTTTTTTTTATATACAGTACCTGTATATCGTAATATTTTGAAATCTTATACAGTATTTTGAAATTTATTAAATAAAAAAAATGTGACAGCAAAATATTACAAATTATGAGTGATTACAAATTTGGGGGGTACGAATTATGGTTTTTTTAGTGTGCCTGTACTGTGTTGAAATTTTGTAAGAAATCAAAGAACTTTTATTTTATTACGTCTGGGGTTAAAACAACTGTCACGGGAACAAACCTCCAATTGCAAAATGGAAGTCGTGAAATGAGTTCAGTTTCTGGGAAGCTTTTCAATAAGGTTACCTCTGTAAACCAGAGGATACCTGTACAATACCTCCAACTGAAATAAAAAGTGATTGGATTCATTAATAAATAATTGGCTGAAACTTGCTCAGTGTGTGTTGGGAAGAAACTGTTTGTCTGCATAAATATTAAGACAATATTGTGACAGAACAGGACCAAGGAAAAGTGCTGACCATCATTTTCAATTTTATTTATAAAGTAAAACAGGTACATTCACTTATTCACATACAATTTGGAAGATTCCTAGCTTCTTGTATTTTAAATTATAAAAGCCCAGGAAGCACTTTCATATTGGACAAAACAACACTTGGAGCCGCTTGCATACTGAAAGGTTTATCTATTCTCCCATTACGTACAGTTATTTGATGCCACGGAAATGATATGTTGTCCAGTGTAAGCGATCAGACTGCTGGGTATTATCACATGGGAGTAAAGACAGGACTCAAGGAAGAAACAATGATAATAACAAGTAATCTTGTAAACGAAAGAACTTGACTTAGTTTCCTGTGCACCAAAATGAAAAATAGGTTCTTGTGCACCAAAATGAAAAATAAGTTTTCTGTGCACCAAAGTGAGAAATGTTCTCCAGCTTAAAAAATAAAAATTAAAAGACAATAGGAAACAGTATAAATTTGTTGCACACTTATGTAAGTAAATCATAATTACTTGGATGATATTTATTTATGAATAATGACCATGAAATATCAAACATAAGGAAAAACATATGGCAACTAAAAATCAATTTTTTTTCTCAACATCATCACTTTTTCACAACCTGTCACAACACACAGGATGTGGTATATTGCACTTCCTTTTTATTACATCATCAACTTGATCTTATATGTATTATAGATAACTTTAAAAATTATATTATAATCCATGTATGTAAGACTTTGATATAGTGTACATCAATAGTCTTTGAACAATGTGGATAAAATATCCTAATCCTTGAACAATACAACTGAGACAAATTGATAAAATGTTCACTATTGTGAGTACCTCAAGGAATAATTGTTATCACTTGTATATAATACGGACTTTTTTTCCTTACAGTACAAAATTTTCTTGCTCTATTCATGCTCAATAATGCTATTGTATACGTAGTACTGTATGTCACCAGTATAATTCGGTAGAAACAGTTTATGAGGAGCTAAAACTAGTTGTGATACTAATACTGATGCACAGAGAGCAAATCTCATTAAGTCTATCTACCTAGTGCCAATGTGGTTTAATTAAATATAAGATTTTGAAAAATGTACAACTTAAGCAATGTTTGCAGTGACGCAGCATGTCAAGGGATAATATAAAAGGAAGTGGATAATGTAAAAAAAAATTATATAAATTTAATAGATAATTGATAATCTTGTGCATAGCTTCTAAGATGAACATGCTGAAGCTCTGGGGTAATAACAGTGGATCACATGTTATGCAAGCTAGGGTGAAATGGGCTGGTGAATGAAAAAATTAATGAATAGGTTCTTCATTAGCATCCCCATAGATGCTGTGGAATTCAGTTTCATTGAAGAATGAATAGGTTGTGAGCAATAATAGGCAGTGGTATCTGACAAGCCCCCTGAGTAAGGCTAACTTGGAATTCCAGAATGATGCAAGAAGTAACCTAAGCCAAAGTACCAGCTAATCAGTACATGATGATGACACTTGCCATCACACAACATAACTGAAAATTCTGCTTTTGCGAGGGAATTCAGGCATTGCAACGCCATGTGTAAGGTCATATCACCAGCTGAACTTCTTCCAAGCTTATAAATACCACTGGGTTGCCAAGAATCCCTTTCAGTATCTTCACATGGTCATTGGTTCTCTTGAATGTTAAGGCTTGTTCAAGGATTTCCATATCCACTCTCTTATGCTGAAATGGAAAGGATAACTGTGAGATATATTTTCAAACCTATTTGTACTCCTAATCAGATCGTGCAGGAAATTTTTAATGTACGTACTTTTTAGAATAAATTGGTTTTAATCACAGTGTATACCTTAATTAAAAAAAATATTCTGTAATACAGTATTAAGTTTATTTAAAGAATTTAAATATGAGCATTTAGATAAATATATTTAAAATAGAGAAAAATACTATACTTATACATATTGTACATTAGATATCAGTGGTTGTAAGAAATATTACGTAAAGTAGTTTTCCCAAACAATGATTTTCAGATGGCTTCATGAATATACAGTACAGTACAGTATGATGCTTTTGCAATACTTTTGACACAAGGGTATTGGGCTGTGCAAGTTCTTGAGGTCAGTGTTTTGTTGATGATATCAACTGGTAATGTTAACTAAAACATTGTACGCAGCTAAAGTGTACAAGGCAACAAATTTGAACTCAGTATTCTTGTGTCAAGTAAGTACAGTACAGTGAACTTGGAATGTAAAGTTACAAAGTAAATTCATCTGCACATTAGAGTAACAGATCTGTTAAAATGTAAAGGATGTTTCTTAGATGTGCGAGTAATGCATTAATGGATGCATACTTTGAATTATCTCTCTCTCTCACACAAACAATTCAAGGTGTGTATAGTATAACTTTACACATTCCATAATAACTGGGAGGGAACTATCTCCTTAAAGCTCATTACAAGAATCAGTAACTTAGAATTGCACAAGTTTATATACGTCTAACATCCCAGATCTATTATTGGGTTCAGTATCTATAAGTGAACCTTGATAAAATAACCTTTGAATTAGAGGAAAAGTAACAAAAGATTAATTGAAGTAAAACTAAATTAATGGTGATTTAATGAATGCATTTAATATAACTTTTAAATTTGTTGAGTGAGATCAGTTCACTATTACAGTATTTTTAATTTTAGCAAATTATTGTATTTACTCAGTTTAATTAACTGAAAAGTGGATTATTAGGAAGTTAAGAGATTTTAAACAGTACATTAAGTAAAGTATACAATTAATAATACGGTACTTGCTACAATATACAGTACCATTATTAATGAACGTTGCCATTATGTACCATCATTTACATTAATTTGTTTTATATTTTGACTAGTTTTATAGTCAATATGCAAGAAATGTACTGTCTAAAATCATGTTTTATTAAAATAGTATTCAGAGTTTATGTTAAGATGTTATTTGTAAGAAGATGAAAAGAAAAGATTACCAGTACAGTACTTATAAATCTCTACGAGCTTTCTAATATGTACAGACACTAGCGAAAAGGTTCCCTCTGCAGTACAGTATTTACAAAGATCACCGACATCATGGTATAGTGTCCAGTTATTATTTGAAGTCTGCAGTATTTTCCGAAACAATTACACAATACAGTACTACATGTAAAGAAGAATTACAAGTACTATTGAAAGTTGCAATCACTACACGAGAATTACATTCCCATATAAGAGCGCTAAGTTGTCTCCTTCCACCTGAAAATAATCCATGCAAACTAGTCTTGTTAATACTGAAGAGTTAAGACTACAGAAGCTGGAGGTTTGCAGTGTTCTTCCACATGTTATGTTAAACATTCTCTCGAACTACCTTCAGCGTCATCATCTTCCGTCTGTACTTTATCCAATGTTTCTTCCCCACCTTCCGTATCTGCTTCCTTATAATCTGCTGCTACTTCCTTATCCTCAGCAAAAGCTTCTGCCTCCTTCTCACTCTCCTCCTCTGCTGCTTCATGCTCCTCACCTTCAGCTGTCTCTCCTCCTCCTACATCTTCTTCTACTGCTTCCTCACCCTCGGCTACCTCTGTTTCTATCTCCCCATCTCTGTCTCCCACAGCATCTGTCAGTCCTTCGTCTGTGACTGAAGGGCATTTTGGAATCAAATGTATCAAGAACAGTTGCCCAGGAGGTAAATGATATTGCAAATCAGAGGAAATTGAAGGGTATAGAGGAGTATACCTTTATCAGTAGAAATAATTCTATGAACGTTTTTTTGTGAAATGAAGTTTAAAAATTGCCCTCATTATTTTAACCCTTGCCAGTATACTGTAATGCTGTATATCAGAAAATCTGAAAGAAAATCATTACCTTCTGTTGCCGGCTCTGCTGGTGTTTCTGTTGCCTCAGTTGTGGCTTCCGTAGCGGCTTCTTGCGCTCCATTCTGTGAAGAATTTAATTTAAATAACTAGGATAAAGTAAAGCACTGGGTGTTAAGTCTTCCCATACATGATAAATAAACTTTATCTACAATTGTCACTCTCTTAACATTATTGTCATGTTTCATCAGTTATATACTGTACAGTATCAATAATACAACTCAATTATATATCAAGATCACAGTTCTCATTATAGTGACATTGCAATTCTTTTTTTTATCACAGACATAATTCTTCCCAAATTAAATTTTTGTTTCAAGTTCGTACTAAAACCAAAGGTCTCTGAGAGTTGCAGACGTGTATATACGTACATACATTACATCCAAATTCTAGAACAACATTTATTTTTTTGTATAGGGCTGAAACTTCCTTCTTGCTTGAATATGACAGGTTTTCACGCAGATAACTTCCAACACCTAACATTAATTAATTACGCTCATACCTCACTTAGCACCCTGGATGTGCTCCCGGAGAAGTGAATATTAATTGAATCTGTGTTTGAGTGAATACAAGAGGGATTCCTTAGGCATTGGTAATAAGAGCTAATAATAATAATAGTACAGTGGATAGTAACACATAGCTAGTACTTGTATTACTATTATTACTAACGAGCCGATCATTGGTGAAGAGGATAAAAGAAGTGTATTGCACGACTCACCTATCTTAGCATCTACAATTTCATATCCATAGTGATGCTTTTCCTTACACTTCTGTCACATTTCCAGCACTAACACTTGCAGGTCTTTTTATAATGCTCACAAAAATAAGTTGGAGAGAGACACCATAATGAGGTAAACACAATCAATGGTGGGCAGCGTTCAAAACTGGAAGATGGGAGCATGATTGACACATTTCTCAGTGGCAGTACTGTAGTAGTGTGTTTCCTTAGCAAGTGTTTACTTTTAACTTCTGAGGCACTATTTAGATTCTCCCCCCTCCAGGTTAAGCTCTAAGTGAGGTAAGAATGTATATACTGTATAGTATAAAACATGGCTTGTTCAATTCCATATTCACCCAAAAGAAATAAAAGAGAGAGAGAGTGAAAATTTGTGAACGTCTAAGTAGCTTACCTTCAAGCTCGGCTGTTGGTTTCATACAGTACACCTTAGTTTACTGAATGGTGGTTCAAATATGATACAATTTATACATATTTTCAAGTTACTTTCATAGAAGCCTAATTTATTATTTTGTGTGTGTGTTCTCTCTATGGTTATTGAACATTTGAGGATATTTATATTTCATTACATAGCTAGAAAAAATATTCAAGTGAAAAAATGGGACACAGTCACTTCTTCCCCTGTCTCTACCTCTGGATTATTTGCTTAAGCTTTTAAACTTGTTACTTCCCATCCCTCTTCACTCATATATACGTAGGTAAGTGAATTCTGTCTACATTCTGAGCTCCTCCCCACCTCCAGGAGATTCATGATATTCAGACTTAAATTAAACTTGAATTTATATATATACCCAGTACATAAATTTCACATTTTTGACATTTAAGCCAGAAACCCCACATTGATTCTTGTGAGTACTGTATATACAGGCTTTTTTGATGCTCAGTCCTTCATTTCTCCTTAAAGTCTTATCCCCAAAGATTTGCCCATTATTTAAGTCGATCATTACCAAAAGCCTTGTTACGATAAACTTAATTCAAAACACATTCTTACTAAAAAAAAATTTGGCATATAAAAGCAGGTTTTTTCTTTAAGCTAACAATGTGGAACCAATGCAACCAAGCATCTTGTAATGAAGCAACAGATCATAAAAGCAGGAAAGCATCATAATTTTACACATTTTCCTCATGGGATTCACTATATTTCTTTAAGCTCTATAAAATCAATAAACCTTTCTCAAACCCACATGGAATTTTAGTTTATTGGTTGAATCTTATCGAAAGAGTTAATGAAAATCTGAATTCATGGTTAGATATAAGTTGGTTAATTTTATTAGTGCTTTACATGGTGAAAACTTCCTTCTGTTAGGTCAAAATTCTACAGAGTAAATGAAAGGTGTTAATGAAGTGTCTACAGATAATGCTTTATTACTACAACTATAATAAAAAGAATAAATACATGCAGAATATATTTTTACAAAGACAAAAATTACAGATACATACATATTATCTCTTAACCTACTGATTGTTAACATGTAAATGTAGGACCCGATCAGTGGAAAACCTCTCGATACTCATCAGACTAAAGCCAAATGAAGGGAGTTAGGGAGTTGAAAATCAAATTACCATGCTTAGCTATAATTGTCATTAAAGTATTAGATCCAACTCTCCACATCACAAACTATGCCATACCTAACTATGTGATTTAAAGCTTTATTGTAGGTAGCTGTTATCAATGGCTGTCTATTTCCAGTAAACCAGTTACTACACTCAGGTGACAGCTGTCACATGTTGTGAGGATGAAATAGTTCTTATGGAGGATAATCTCGAGCCCCGTGATCTATCAATTTTCCTCAACCTATTGTAAATAGTTTAGGGCCTTTATATCCATACAACACTTCTCATCCAATTGACCATCACCTCACTCACACAAGATGTTCTTCCAAGTGTAATAATAGTTAGATGTACTTTTGGGAGGTTTTACAAAAGGAACTACTGTACCTATTGTAAGTCGCTATATTTGATAACCTAAAAAAGAGGCCATAACACTGGGTAGGAAATCAGGGCAAGTTAAAGAATGGGATGATGATGATATTAGAGTAATGTTAACTTCATGAATGCAAGAGGTTATAAGTATTAATTATTCTTATTAACCGTCTCCACGATGTGAGTTTCAATGAAAGAAACTTAATTTATTATTTACTTTGAAATACTGTACTAGCAAAGACGCAATATTTTTACAACAATTCACAATCTACGTTAAAATATTACAACTGCAATTTTAAATCTGTACCACCAGTTCTAAAAAATAAATAAATAAATAAATAACGCTAAACTCCACCATTCGTGCATTCCACAAAAGTTTATAATTTAATATTTTCTGCTGATACATTAATAAGTTAAGAGTGACTGGGAATTTCAAGACGGGATAATGACTTTGGTTTACTGAAAATAGACAGATGACGCATTAAATCCTACTTATGAGTTGTGCTTTATTTGGTTTTAAAGTTATTAAAAAAATTTCACTAAACACTGTTACCATTAAAGCATGGAAGTACATGGTATTACTCATAGTTGTGAAAATGAGTTAGTTAGCCTGTTGAATATTGCAGTGACAAGCATAGAAGTATTACTCATAATTGTAATTAATACATACAGGTATATTGACAAAATCTTAACCTAACCTCTTTACACAAGTTCACTGATCCACCTAAATATAGGAAATTGTCCATAGCTTAAACACAACTCTCAAGAACAGTTGATCCAAAGAGAAGGGACTATGATTTAGTATGGATGTTGCTCTTTACATATCAGTTCACATGATGGAATAATATGTCATGTATTGGGAAGAAGGGATAGGGTGGTCTTCTATCGTATATAGAGGACATGGACGAGCTTCTACATGAGAAAACGCAGCAGCATCTATTATTAAGTAAAGCCTCGGAGCTCGTTAAATTTAATGAATCTGCCCCATGCCAAACCTGGTTGTGTTCTGAGAATAATTTTAAATGCTGCTGCCCACCTGATTGTCAGAAGAGAATAATTTTAATTGTTTAAAAAAAAAAATTGCCTCATTAGCAAACATTTTCTCATGTGGGACAACACAAACTCCTTACAGAAGTTATCTTGTGTATGTTTCTCACTGCCAATAAATTCTTTACCAAACCTTGTTCTCTCAACGCTTGGAATCTAAACAACAACAACAATTTACCTAGACTTACAGCTTCCCAATCTTAACTGTGCAAGAAAGCAATAGGTCCTCTATTTTGACCTTTGTTAGCAGGTTAATAATGAATGACTGAGTAGATGTTTATGGTATGATAATTATATAATGTAACCTTAAGTAGTCATCGTATACTGTTATTGTTATGTAATATCTGTAGCTACATGTAGTTTTACCTCATGTAGTTTCTGATTGGAATAATTCTCAACAACAGGGTGATCCTCCGGTTAGATTCTATTTTCTGCAGTTTACAATTGATCAAATAAAAAAAAAAACATTACTGTAAAGATGAGGGATTATGGCTCCAGTAGTTATAATACTATATACAGTACTGTACTGTACTGTATTCTCTGGGTATATGTAGCCTATGGTCTAAATGTACAGTATAATAAAGACTAAGGTTTTTTTTCTTTGAGATTTAACATGTAAAGAGCTTCCTTATGCATTTAAAACATGGCAAGAAAAATAGTCCCTCGCTCTTGTAGACTGTATGTTTAAAGTTGTTCTTATTAAGCAGTACTGTACTTGGAAAAAAGCAAGTGCACCTGAAACATAAAATGCATGTAGCTGCGTATTTAATGCAATACTGTAATGAGCTGTTAAGCAATTTCCGAAGAGAGGCTGTGGCCAATACTGTATTACAGTTAATGAGTACAAAACTGTCAGCATACAGACAGAAACACATTACATGGGAGACCACCACATCCTACACAACATCTATCCATAAGCAAATGGTTGATGTTTGAGGGGATTCATATTATTAAATACAGTATCACAAATGTTTTGATGTATTGGGACAAAACACAAACATGGTTAGGATATTGTTAATTATTATTCTACAGATGATGCTAAATCTATCAATGAAAACTACCATGCCAAAATACCAAGCTCATTCACAAGTGAGGCCTATTGTCCTGAATAATATGGTTAACTACAGGATACAGCTGGATGCTCCTTGTTTTTTTATTTCCATTTAGGGAAAATTACAAGACAATCCAAACCAATCTAAGATTTATCTGAATCATTTTGTATTAAGTTGTGTTAAATATGGATGTGAAAACCTTACATACATAATATTATTAAGTAGGGAACTGGTGCTAAATTGTTGGATAACTAAAGACAATATTCTCCTGCAACCTACATTCAAATGCATCAACTCGACTGAAAAACTGTCAAAATTATTTATAAGTCGGTTATTTTGAGGCATTGAGGAGCCAAATATGTCAGTAACTAATGATGGTTAGGTGTGATGACTGAGGAGATTATACATATACAATATACTGTACAATGATCTTTTGAGCAGAACAATCTTATGCAGTAGTGCAATGAAGAGTACAAAAAAAAAATATTTATATAAATTTACATACAAGGAACTATCTGGGTAATTTTTGGAGATGGTAGTTTGTTATAGTTAGTACAGTATGTATGAAAATTCGAAATCCCATATCCACAGTACTGGCATTCGTGTTGTTAACCCAGAGCAACCACACACATGTACAGTACAAACACTGAAGCCCCAGCTGGACACATGACTACATCTGAGATTTACTGCAAGCTTTGTTAGTAATGTATCCCTACAACCACACAGGCAATCATGTGTGGTAACAACACCATGACCCCAGGTCGATGTGTGGCTGCGTGTTCCACGTCTGAGGCTTACTGCTGGCTGGGTTAGTGTACCCCTACCTCTCGACTAGCTGAAACACCATTGGTCAACTGTGGTGTTTCACTCTGTTGCTTTGCCTTCGCTCTGTCTTCAGGGAGGATGCCAGTGATGCCAATCTTGATGCCTTTCTTTTCTTCCTCGGTTAGTTTCAAGAACTCCCCAAGTGAATCAGTTTCATTGGACATGTCCAGGTCGTCAAAGTCCTGAAAATATTGAAGAAACATAAAGTACAACTTTTAATGCCTAATTTTACTAATACAGTACACAAATATCCTCACCCTGTAAATGATATACATGTTCTGCTTATGTCATGGTGAAATGTAGTGCATCACTGCAGATTACTTTACAGAGCAGTGAAGAAATTCTGGAACCAAGAAATCCAGCTCCTTCAGTTTTAGTTACTTGCACCACAAAATTATAAGGTTTTTGATACTCACACCACAATATTCAGCATCGTTAAAGATCTGTGGAGTCATAGGAACCCTGTTGTTTCCCTTTGGTTTGGCATTCTCGTTCATGTAGTCTTTTGAGTCTTCCTGGCCGGGGTCGGTGATGTCAATGGCGACGAAGGGGATGTTTTTACTCTCAAGGATCATAACAGCTCGCTGCTGATTTTTCTTAATCTGGAAGAAACAATAACTTACATTAATTCCCAAATTATTTACATTTCCTAAACATTTCAGATTTTTTTGTGTATTATTTTGAGCAATGTCTAGAAGATAAGAATATTTTACTTTTAAATATATGATCAATTAGAATACATGTACAGTATAATTATTAACAGTTTACAGGTACTTGTGGCCACCAAACCCAGATATGTAATGCTCGATTCTTTCAATAACTTCCTTTCATTACAACAGTACTTTTCAATGTGTCTAATATAGTAAAGGTAGTCTGTTATGTGACCCCCCCCCCCCACACACACACAGTTAAACAGGATGGTGACCACATTTAGCGATTGGAAATTCAAACCAGTCTCGTTGTTTCCGAATCATTTGCCACATGAATTATTTCCACGTGCACTCTGCAAATGCATGAATATCATCGATCCTCTATAAGGTAATGATTAAATGAATAGAATCTGGAACCAAAACGTCGGATATATCGCTCAGTAGTTATGGTCCGACTTCAGGTACGTACACCTGTTAATCACGAGGCTCTATATCACCGTCTGACGTTGCTCTGAGAGGTGAGGTAATATTAAAGGTGGTAGGTGGTGTATGCTATGACGATGGTGCTATGTGGATTTAGACATTTCCATAACAAGGGTGTTTGTGATTCATATTAAGAAAAAATTTTATTTGCAATTAATATACCTAATGTGGTTAAAATTTAATCAAACGGTGATGATGTAATTCAATAATCCTGCAACAGTTCGCTGATCTTCATGTTTTTTGTTTTGTTTTGTTTAATCCATCTAACAAACTTGGATGCCACAAATATGTATGGACCAGCTGCCTGGTGCAAAACAACAGCTCTCCTTCAGTAAAATACAGTATTATTAAAAAAATTAACAGCCAAGTTTTTTTAACAAACACTGGTGGTTCGTTCACAAGGTCACACAAAGATATTGGTGCGCCAAGAATTGCTGGCGCCAAACATGTGACAATTAAACAGAAAAGTCGTAGTAGAGACTAACCGAGCAAACTAAAACTTTACGCACAATTGTCACTAGACCCATTACTTAAACAAGGCTGCCCTTCTAGTACTGTATTGTTGCAATGGAATATACCGGTATGCATTTAAATTTGGATACTGTACACTAAAAATATATAACGAAGAATCCCACGTGCAACTGCACATGATATTCTTGTTTGTATATTTTTGGTGTACTGTATACATATTTAAATGCATCTCTTGAGAGAGAGGGGAGGGAGACTATCACAACACTTATCAAAAGCGGATGGGAACATTTCCCTTGTGGACCAACACACTCCTCACTTAAGCCATCTTCTGAGATGTACAGTAATATACAAAACACCAAAAATATGCAAAGACGAATCCCACTTGCGACTAAGTAACTACACAACAAATATACAATATATATATATATATATATATATACCTGCATATATATATATATATATATATATATATATATATATATACATATACTGACACAAATACCATATTTGACACTGAAATCTGCAAGCTTGGCCCATGTGTCACCTAGAGAAAAAATGGGAATATTCTATATGGAGGCAAAAACCCTTTCCTTCATCTCACTAACCAACGATCAAAACACTGAGTTCCTGGACACTTTCACTTGCCTTGTAGGTTTCAGATTTTCATATTTGCTGTGCATGCGGGCTAGTTTATTGGGCATCCCCTTACATCCTGTGCAAGGTGTGGCGCCAAAGCATTTACAGCGACCAATAGGGAAGCATGCAGAATTCATGGTTGCCTTCTTTGACTCATGTGACTAAGGATGCAAATGCTTGAAGAGTCATGGATTATGTTAGCAGTTACATATAGTGAAAGGAAATGAGTGTGAGGAGGGAGAATTCCTTACACAATTCATCAGTGTACGGCAAAGGGTGGCAGGTCCCCGATGTTGCCAAGTGCCAGGCCTGTCTCTTAAGAGGAGGAAATTTGGTCAGGGAGGGATGATGTGTCGGTGACAGCTGGGGACCTGTAAGAGGAGGTCTTAGGGCATGCAAATATGTAGTGAGGGAGGATATGAGAGTTGGCTCAACTGTCTTGTAACATTGTATCCAGTGTCAGATCCTCCAGTGAGATCGACATGGAAGTCGACGGCAAAAGGATCTTGTGTAGTCATGCAAGACTCTAGGAAGGCCACTATAAATAGATACATAACCAATCTACTAAGCTCCCACTAACTACTCTTTAGGTGGTAGTTATGCCTGCCTTCCTGTACAGTTGGCCTCTCTCAGAGACACAACCTGTCATGGAATGGGTTTGACATGCAAGTCTAGTGCACATTTAATGGCATCAAAAGCTTGTTGGGAACTCCAACAATGAGCCCCACAAGCAACCAAAACAACCACTCCTAGTGTGGACTCGTACTCCGGATGACAACATTATCATCACATCATACTGATCTCCAGTCTGACGCCAACAATGGTGGCTGGACACAACCCCACTAGCTGGCTAGGTCAGGGAGGCCCTGCTTTAAATGGACCCCACGATGAAGCAAGTCACCGTCTCGGCTCATATCGCAGCATTTGATGAAGACAGGTTCTGGCAACACCTGTTTCCACAACTGAGAAAGAGTGTGTGTGTGTGTGTTTGTTATATTGGGTTGGTTAGAAAGTGAAAAAGTTGCTTTTATATTTTTAGGACCGACGACGGCTGCCCCCACAGAGTGTATTTAGAGAGTATGTTTATACAATGTTTTGGGTACAAATACTAGACCCACTCTGTATATAATCCACTACTGTACATCTTCACAAAGTCCCTTGATATTTGTGTTTATGAACTCCAGAAACCCAGTCTGTTCTCCATCAGTTTCTGCACCTAACTGTATTCTTCACCACGTCCACTGTGCCATAAGATTTACGCAAGGCCTTGTAAAAGCTTGCCGAGAATGAGGTAGGGAAAACTGAGCTATCCTGGAGTAAGAATTACAAAACAAATAGGTGGAGGAATTACCCAAGTGAGGACCATCAAGAAATAATTAAAGGCAGGTCATGGGGGGTTTAAAAATCACATAGTATTATTATTTACAGAACCTTTATGTACTAGAAAGATATTTTGGTATATGTTCTCAAGTTTAAATTGGGCATAGTGAATTGTGTCTCCCCTCTCTCCTCCTCCCCTCCCAGCTTGACACACTAGTAACATACTAAATTTGAACCACTGAACTGAACTGTCACCCTAACACAGCTTCACACCCACGACAAACAGGATGTTATTATCTCTCGTGTTTTGGATAATGAACCAGTTATCACTGCCTGTCTCACTGCTGTCAGTCCTTACCACCATGCTCTCTGTTCTGTTGTGTCTTCGTCGTCATCATTATCAAATCATTATTTTCTTTTATCTGTTTCATTATTTAATACTGAAGATTAGCCCCACCTTAGCTCATTATGCCTGAAGATTAACCACCTTAGTGCAACCAAGTTAGGGTAGGTATAGTTAGGTTAGGGTAGGTATAGTTAGGTTAGGGTAGGTATAGTTAGGTTAGGGTAGGTATAGTTAGGTTAGGGTAGGTATAGTTAGGTTAGGGTGGGTATAAGTTAGGGTAGGTATAGTTAGGTTAGGGTAGGTATAGTTAGGTTAGGGTAGGTATAGTTAGGTTAGGGTAGGTATAGTTAGGTTAGGGTAGGTATAGTTAGGTTAGGGTGGGTATAGTTAGGTTAGGGTAGGTATAGTTAGGTCAGGGTGGGTATAGTTAGGTTAGGGTGGGTATAGTTAGGTTAGGGTGGGTATAGTTAGGTTAGGGTAGGTAAAGTTAGGTTAGGGAAGGTATAGTTAGGTTAGGGTGGGTATAGTTAGGTTAGGGTAGGTATAGTTAGGTTAGGGAAGGTATAGTTAGGTTAGGGTGGGTATAGTTAGGTTAGGGTAGGTAAAGTTAGGTTAGGGTAGGTAAAGTTAGGTTAGGGAAGGTATAGTTAGGTTAGGGTAGGTAAAGTTAGGTTAGGGAAGGTAAAGTTAGGTTAGGGTAGGTATAGTTAGGTTAGGGAAGGTATAGTTAGGTTAGGGTAGGTATAGTTAGGTTAGGGTGGGTATAGTTAGGTTAGGGTAGGTATAGTTAGGTTAGGGTAGGTATAGTTAGGTCAGGGTGGGTATAGTTAGGTTAGGGTAGGTATAGTTACAGTAGGTTAGGTTAAGTTAAGTTGACGTTTGGGTGGTTTTCACGTGAAATAAACTGGTGTGTTTAATCATCAGGTGAACCATAATCTGTTTCAAATTCAACTACTGGATGAAGAGGAGGAAATGAGGACGGGAGAAAGGAAGAAATAAGAGATTGAGTGAATGAGGGAGAGAAGGAGGAGAGGGATGAGGAAGAACTGAAAGTGAGAAAGGAGGAGGAGAAAGTGGGGGAGAAGGCGGAAGTAGAAAATAAGGGGGAGAAGGTAGTGAGGGAGAGAGGAGAAGTAGGAGTTTGTGAGAGAGAGAGGGAGGGAGGAGGAGAGGGAGTTTGTGAGAGAGGGGGGGAGGAGGAGAGGGAGTTTGTGAGAGAGGGGGGGAGGAGGAGAGGGAGTGAGAGGAGGAGGAAGATCGGGTTACCTCAGGCTGGGTGCCAGAGAAGTGGTGTGGCTACAGAATATCACCACCACACCATCATGGAGGTCACACCTAATAATGTCTTCATGTGGTGTATGCTCCACTCTTATCTACCTGTACTCATAACTCTACTCCTAACTCTACCTGTAGACTGTCTCACCCTATGCTCTACCTGTACTCATAACTCTGGTGTGCTCCAACTCCTCTAACTCTACCTGTACTCATAACTCTACCTGTCCTTATAACTCTGCCTGTACTTATAACTCTACCTGTACTCATAACTCTACCTGTACTCATAACTCTACCTGTACTCATAACTCTACCTGTACTCATAACTCTACCTGTACTCATAACTCTACCTGCACTCATAACTCTACCTGCACTCATAACTCTACCTATACTCATAACTCTACCTATACTCATAACTCTACCT